TAGTAGTAGTAGTAGTAGCAGTAGATAGCCGCGCAGTTATCATGCCTATATTTCCGGTGCTAGCAACTGCTATCAACTTCTGTTGGATGTGTTGGAGTAGATTTTCAACTGTGATCACGATGGTCACCAACCGCGGTTACGACTACGACTTCCAACAGTCATGAATCCCCATCTATCCGTCCAGTGCCAAGGCAGAATGCAGGAAATTCCCAAGACCAAGGCGCAGAGCGGGCTTCTGCGTCAGGCTTGAATTTCCAAGCTTGTGGGGCCGACTTCGGTGGGCGTCCGGATTTTTGGGCTACGTGAAGGGGCCTTTTGTCAGAAGTTTGGCTTCGGGTTTGTATATGGGCCGGGGCAAGAAGTGCGGTAATGTCAGAGGGGTGAAGACCCAATGCAAGCTGCACGTCTCATCACGCTACGCCGACTGATGTACTGCGACAGGCCCATCAGTTTGGCGTTCCAGGGCAGGGTTGCAGGATTCGGGTTCACGTTGTTCGGTCGTTTGCGGTTTCGAGGAATCTCCAGACAAATTAGAGTCGATCGGCTTTTCAGCTTGTTGGCAAGCACAGACAGAGGCTTCAAGCAGAAAAAACCCTGTTCCGCAAGCTGCCGTTCTTTGCAGGCAGTCAGTCAGTCTGTTTTTGCAGCACAGCCTAAAGGCGTGCATACCTGGCAACTTCTTTGCCTTGCCAGTTACATGGCCCAACGGCTACTACTCTCCTTCCACGAGCGAATCCCGGCTGCAGATGTCTCTAGGCGGCCCGTGTCGTGAAAGTTGGGGCAGACCTGGCATCTAGACTACAAATTGCCGAAATCCCTCCTCAATTCTCCTTCGGGCAAAATGACAAAGTTTGAAGATGATCCTAAACGCTTAGCTAAGCCCTAAACCCTCAACCCTAAAGAGCTGTTACTCGGCTCAAGACCTGAGCGTTTCTTCCGGTCGACGGTCGCAGACCATCCGAAGCTTGCGAGTCTCACTGCGAGATGGCACGTGCGTCCGGCACCGATCGTGGTTGGGGCGTGCTAGAACTGGAAAAGCAGGAGTGTCTACTGGCACTCCTCAATCTCTCCCTCCGCCTCCCTCTCTCTCTCTCTCTCTCGCTCTCTGTCTCATACATATATATATATATATATATATGTATTTCGTAGAATGCGCATCTTGTGCCAGACACTTTGCCCGGGCCACTAACTCACAGATAGTTCTCCATATGGGGATCGAACTCAGGCATCAAGACGTTTGTTGAAGCGGCCTTTTGCATGTCTGTATATCCAGTTTCAAAACGTTCCAAGCGTCGCTGCCCGGTCCTTGTTTTCAGTGTCCAGTCATGTCCAGCAAGTGGCTCAAAAGCTTTGGTGTCATGGTCCGGGGTATGTTTGCCTCCAAACACTGTAAAAGGCGCGGCGGGTTCAGATGCATCGAACCACTTCATAAGTAAGGCAACCATACCGTATCTAAATCTATTGACAATTCATCCCCGTCATTTCACATGAGGCCATGTATGAAGTCCAGCGAACTAGCATCGGAAGCCCTTGGTAGAGAAGTGCCCGATGCACCCAAGGAGTGGGAAGGATGGCCTGGTCGAAGCCTTGGTGAATTCTAGCTTTCTTCTTGCAGCAGGGGAGGAATTGCAGCAGCACCATGTCTACAGGCCCATGAGAGGGAGAGGGAGGCGGAGAGAGGGGAGGGCAGCACAAGTATCGGGGCTCTCTACCCTAAGCTTCAGACCTTGTGAAGACCCTGGGACATGAACCGGCTGCTGCATCTTCAACAGGTCGCACTCGCAGATTTGATGCCCGACCCGAGCCTCTGTCAATACTTATCATCATATCCTCATAGTCCTCATTGTTTGTTGACGAGAATATACCTCACAATCCTGTCGTTGCTATTCTTGCTACTAGAGTTGCGAGCGGGTACGAGAAGAGACCTTGCGGCCCTTACATTGCATCGACACGATCTCCCTAACTCCAAATGCAAATCTCGACAGCTCCAGGCTCCGGAGGAGAAGCACGGCACTTACCATTCAGGGTTTAGGGCCTAGGGCCCATGGGGGATTTAAAAGTCACTCAGTTTCGCGCGAGGGCGGCAAGGGCCCTACTTCAACGAAGCTTACCGAGATCCCTTGGTTCACAAGGCCCTTAAAGGTGGCGCCGTCTTCCTTGGAGCATTCTGAGGCGGAAGAGCCCAGCCACCCTGATACAAAGGTCCACTCCAAGACCACATGAACTCCAAAGTCTGGCAGATGGAAAAAAGAAGCAGCGATTTCTTGAGGACCCCAAAACAAAGCCGAGTGAGGTGGGACGAAGTCCCATCGTCGACTTGTCAGCGTCCGACAGGGAGCCCGGGTCCTCGAAGTGCCGGACATGGGGTTTAGGGTTTGGGCGGCTTTTGCTGGGAGGGTGTAGACCTCCTGCTGTGGGCCGCTCTTGTCCCGGTCTCCTGAAATTTGCAAAGGATGAGTCACATGGCTGCAGCTCAGGACATTTTGCAAAGCTGTCTGCAAGCCGTCGTGTTTCTTCGAGGCAGTGATTGCTCCCCCAATAGTCACCAGCGCAGGTGCACGCTGACGACACTGTCGGTTCCAATGCTCCAACATACACAATTCAACTCGAAAGTGACTTGAAGTACTTGAAGCCTTGAAGTCAAACAAGCATAGAATCTGAAGGCCAAAACGCTGAGCACTAAACACAGCGAGCCGAATGTTCAACATCATGCCCCGAAACCTGTTTACACCGAACCTCCTGGGAACCCATCCAAGGTCGATCCTTCACATCGATGCCTCGGCAGAGGGAAACACGCTCGCTTCCCAGCCTGCAGTCTCATGCTGTAGGGTCATAGTTTGTAGTCTAGGGTGGGGAAGGCGAGCTTCAGATTGAGGGTACGGTTCCGACTATGCTTATGCTACGGGCTAGAACTCAGGGTTTCAGTTCAAGGTATGGTTCCCCAAATCTGTATTACTAAGGATGAAGACGCTCCAGCAGGGTAGGTTAAGGCAGGGCTGGTCATGTGAGGAATTCTAGCCGGGGCTTGCAGTAGTAAGGGTCCAGATGCAGCAAGAGGATTCCGGAGTATGGGGCTTTCTGTCGGATTGCTTACCGGGTTCAGGAGCTGATTAGTGCCCTATGCTGGGCAGAATTTCAATGTCCGAAGTGCCTCCGAGTCAGGGATCCCTGGCGCGCTGACGAGTCCATGAAGGAGTACGGAGAGAGTCGCGACCTTGGATCACAGGGGCATGGACATCCTGGCATACATCCACCTCCAACTTCAAAAGGCTTCAGAAATTGAGACAAGCTTAGGGTCGCATTGTTTGCGGATGGGGCCTCGCTTGGGCTTGGCTGGGGCTCAAGCCTTGACCCATCGAGACACAATCATGGCAGCGTGTGTAGCCCAAGCAGCATGTCCTTGACAAGCAAACCTTGGAAGAATTGCTGCGAAGCCCTGGACACCAAAATCCTGGGTGTTTGGGTCCGTCAGTGAAAAAGCTTTGCAAGTCTGAACTTTATGCAGCAGCCTAAGATGTAATCGGGCGCGACGACCGTAATGAACCCTACAATTTGAATTTGTGGATGAGTTTGAAGAAGCAGAAGCATTTGCTTCGGCCACAACCCTAAATTCTGAGGGCCCCAAAGCAGTGAAACATTGAGCCCCATCTCATGGCTGCGACACCACAGCTCTCCAAAAAGCGCAGGTCCGGGCATCTCGCCTGTGCTGATCGCCGCTGCCCCTGGTGAATGGATAGTGATAGTAGTAGGAATCGTCGTCGTGGTAGTAGTAGTAGTAGTAGTAGTAGTAGTAGTAGTAGTAGTAGTAGTCTGCTACTACTGCGACTACTGCTACTACTACTATTACTGCAGTCCTGTCGACGGCGTGCCAAGCGGGTGACAAAAATGAAAACCATTATTTTTAGTATTAATATTGCTATTACTGCTGCTACTACTACTACTACGACGACGACTACTACTACAACAACAACTACTACCACTACTACCACTGCTACCACTACTACTATACTACTAGCACTACTAGCACTACTACCAC